TCGCTTCCAGTTTGAAGATGTTTCCGTTCCCTCCTTTCGGTATGACGGGTACGTCGGGCCCTTAGGGTCCCGTCTGAAGCTGTGTGAGCTTCAACTTCAAATTCATTCTCAGTATCGTGGTCCGACTGAACTAGAGGGTCGTCCAGGGGACGTCTCTCTTCAGGAGCCGGTACAAACGTGGATGCCATCTCAGAAGTACTCTCCCCACAGACGGCGCCAAGATGTTTCGGGGTTTTCTGATGTCCTGCGGGAGAGTTACAATTCCGAGACTGGAACCGGACGCCTGTACCTGCAAAACAAACGGATGCTCCGGATGATTGGAGATCCGCCTCCGACGGTCAAGTTAGTACTTGATTAAGGAGTAATTAATGCGGAAATTAAAGTGATTGGGTCTCTCTAGGTGAGAGTGTTTAATGTGTGTAATCTGCGTAATCTCCCTTAATGAGGATTAAGGGAGGTATTTATAACTTCGGGAAACGTGCCAATCTAGGTTTAGGTTAACCTTGGGCTGATTGGGCTTCCCTCGGAAGTTGGGCCTAGGTGGCCGACTTCTCCATTAGGCATGGAGTATGCCACGTGTCATGACATAATAGGTCCAAGGCGGACGAATAAGCGTGTGCCACGTGGCAAGCCCTGAGAGGTCCAACTGGGGAACACTTGGCAGGACCTGATTGGCCCACGTGGCGCATTCCGATTGGTGGGAGCAAAATCCCCTAATCACGTCTCATAATACAATGTCTTTTTTTCTTTTTGGGTAAACTAAAATACAATGCCTTTTTCTATTTAAAGGTTATGCCTTTTGACATTATTACCCTTTTTTTGATGAGTTGTCATCTGTCTTCCTTATTTTTTTTTGTACTTTTAACGTCAATTTCCAACATTTTCTTTCTCTATCTCTTTAATTATTCCCAACCACTTTTTCTTTCTCTCTATCTCTCTCTAACCCGACATGCACATATGTACTTTTAATCATTAGTTTCAAGGAAATTACAACTTTCTTAATTCCCACGTAAAAACCCAAAGAGACACTGTATTATGAGACGAAAGGAGTATATATGATCTTGTTAACTTTTGTTTTATTGTGCATCTTCAATCCACAAGAGTAATAAGTTTAGATTAATCAGATAATTTATGATTAGTAAAAATCAGGTGCATAAAACATACCCTTATAGCTTGTTCTGCTCACCTATTATTTTCAGGTTTTTCGAGGAAAATAAGCTGAGATAAGATGAGTAAGGAAAAAGAATAAGTAATAAACTCTATTAAGAGCTACAAATAAATTCAATTTACAACTAAAATAAGTTTTGATAAGATAAAGTAAGATAATTTCAAATAAGATAAGTTAAATTCAGTAAAAATCAAGTGAATTTAAAGATAGTAGTAAGCGTTGGCTCTTGTAGGCCTTATTTTCATAAGTTACAGAAAATAATCTAGCTAACAGGCGTCCTAAAGCATTATGTATTAAATTTGAAAAATACATGACAAAATTAAGTGGCGATGAGTTCTCTTATCTAGCTAAAATAAGTTGGCACGTAATGTTAAATTTATATTTCATTTATACATGTCAATTGAAAAAAAATTATATTTTAATGATAATATCAATTGAAAATCCTCAATCCTCCATAATGACCATAACAGATTTGAAATACGCAAGCAACAAGAAGCAGAATAATAAACAACTACCCATCAAATGATTTAATACGGAGTCATACTTATTTTAATAGGAAGTAGTATTTGGGTATAGTGATGGTAAAACACTAAAACGTACGAGTATTAAAATGAAAAAAAGGAACAAGCTGATTTCTCCTCTTCCCGGCCCCCCTCTATGTTTCTCTCTCCACCGCAAATCCACCCCCCAAAAGCTAAACTCACCATTTCGCAAACTTCATCATCACTCGTAACCTTGCTTCGTTGCTTCTTTCTTTTTTATGAATAAATATATATATAAATAAACGACTACTTCATTGATTCGTAAATAAGATCCCCAAAAATATCCCACATTTTGCCATTTCTCCCCCAATTTTCTCTCTCTTCCATTCTTAATTTCACAGCTCAACCATTCAACCATATCCCCCCATAAATATTATTATGTTCATTCTTTTTAATAAATTTAATTAAGCCCCCAATCCCTTTTTTTTTCCGTCATTTATTTATTTCATTCAATTCTTTGACGATCAAATATATCATGCGGGTTAAAGATATGCATCCTCTCTGTTGCATATCATTAGAAGGCGGCGGCGGCGGTGGTGGCGATAGCAGCCCAGGCCCACGTATCGGGTCATTGGAATTAGCCCTATCTCCGGCGGGCAGCCTGAGGCGAAGCTCGACCCTGCCCGGATCGTACACGGGTAATGCAGGCAGTTTCCGGCGATCTGAAATGAGCGTCGCCGGAGCATTGTTCAAATGGACAAATTACAGCAAAGGATGGAGATCTCGATGGTTTTTGTTACGTGGAGATGGTTTGCTTTCTTATTGTAAGATTCTCTCCCCTCAATCCCTCAATTCTCTCTCCTCTTCTTTGGGAGATGACGTCACTGTCATCGGTGATTTGACATCACCGCGCCTTATTCGTTTGGATAGTTGTGGTCGCAAGAAGGATTCCAAGAATAACTCCGTCGTTCATCTCAAGGTACTAACGGAATGCATTTCTTTTTTCAATCTCACAGAAAGTTTATTTCTTTTTTTATTGATAATTTATCCTTTTTCAGTTTTTTTTTTTTTTCTTCAGGAATTATAATTAAATAGTCCATAAAATTGAAATTGAAATTGAAAAAAGAAACGGAAATTTAGGGGTTAAAGAAAGAAAGAAAGAAGGGGGAGGTGGGGTGGGGAACTGGGTGTTAATAAGGAGTGGGTCACATCAACAGGTGGGTAGGCCATGAAATAGGGAGGGGGGCTATATGCCTATAAGGGGCTATTAGCCTATATTACTTGTATAATGTTAGGTGGGGTCGCTCTCTCACTCTCCCATCTATCAGTCATCTCTATCATCCGCAACTCCTAAATATTTGGTCTTTCTTTCTTTGTTTTTCTGTTTCCCTTTTTTTAATTACCTGTTTTCATATTTGTTGCTCTTTTATTGGTACTTTTGTTGCATGCCTTTCTTAGCTTCATATTATGTTTTCATATCTCTAATGTGTGTGTTCTGGTAAGTTCTAATTCTAAACGTGATATTTTTATTCACCTAATTTTTAGTTATTGTTATTTTCAACTTTTAGTAATGTAGAGGTTGTCTGGATTGTTCGTTGGCTTTAAATTACAGGCTTGCGATCTGTTTGAGCTCACTTTTGGTGTTATATTTGATAACTAACAATTGTATGATTATCAAGTTTCAATTTTTGATTTTTATATATTTGTATGTTCATTTTAAGTGTATGTTTATACTTGTATATTCTGCTTTCATGTAATTTGATTCTAATCACTGTTGTGGGATTTAGGAATTTTGGTTTCAATGTGGGTCTTTGATATTGTTACCTTGACAAAAACATAATCTTGTCCTTAGGGTTTTAGCCTTTTTGGTTCTACAATATGCAAAAGATGTTGAATTCCACCTTCATAGATGGACAGATCTAATTAATTCATTTATAAATGGGTATTGGTGTTTCTCCATTCGTCCCATAGCTGTGATATAGACAATTGCGTTTAGACTCGACTATTGTTGGCCATTTACATAAGACACCAATGCTTGCTTCTTTCTTTTTAAGCTATTCTTTCCCCTCTACTGTAAATTGGATTGTATTGAACTCTTTTCCGGATATCTTTATCTGTTATTTTAAACAAATAGATGAGTTTCCTGGTTTGGACATGCAATTTGTTGGATAAATGTGGAAAGGAAAGTAAATTATGATATGCAGAACTGTTAATTTTATTTTCTGGTAAAAACTTTAGCAGTTTAGTAGTTTTCCCTTTGCAGAACTGTTTTGGTGTAAATTGAACTTTGCAACTTGAATCGGTTTGTCAAGGCTAAGATTACCGTCTCTTTTAATTCTTTTCTTTGGTTATAGACCTGATTATATTAATCCCTACCTTTCCTGAAATTTCAATTTGGGAGGACAAGCATGTGTGTTTGTGTGTGCAGGGTGTAATTTCTTTGTTGTCTAGCAGCCAATGTATTAATTTGCCTAAATTTAAGGATTTAGTTTGTGTAATTTAACTGTTATCCTATGATGATAAACCTTTTTTTGTGTGTGTGTGTGTGTGCGTGACATACAAGTTATTTTCAGCTATTATGGCTTGAACTTTTTAAAGTTACATTCAACATGGAAAATGTTCTAGCTCAAGTGCTTAACTTCACCCCTATAACCCTAATGGTTTCATTTGAGGTGCTCTAACATTCAGTATTGGAGATGTTGATGATTTTGAACATAATTTAATATTACTCGATTCCCATTGTTCTCTTGTGATGATTGAGATAGAATTTTTGTTGAACTTGCAAATTTTGGATGATTGTTGGAATCTAAAGAACACCCTACATCTAAATATCTAATGCTCTAGAGTCTAGATCACACCTAATTTTTTTGCTGGATAGGAGGAATAGTGTTATTTGTGAAAAATATTTCAATTCGTTTCAAAAGTTTGATTGTATATAAATTGTAAGCAGGTATCATCATTTCGAGAGAGCAGGTCTGATGATAGGAGGTTTTACATATTTACAGCTACAAAGACTCTTCACCTAAGGACTAATTCAAAACGTGAAAGGGCGCTTTGGTTAGAAGCTTTGGCATCAGCAAGAAGTCTCTTCTCCCTGAGAAGACCACTGAATGATAATCTCCCACTTTCTCCTGACAGCATTTCCATTTCAACTGAAAGATTAAAGAAGCGATTGGCTGAAGATGGGGTCAATGAGTTGCTTGTAAAGGAGTGTGAGCAGATTATGCTTTCAGAGTTCTCAGACATACAACGAAAGCTGAAAGTTCTTTGTGAGGATAGATCCAATTTGCTGGACACATTAAGGCAGTTGGAGGTAATTTCTACTGCTCATATAGCCTCTACTATGATTTGATTTGAGTTCATTATTATCACGGTGGATGACTGGACAAACTCTTACAAAAAATGATTAACAGTTCTCTGTGAGTTATGCTTTCCATTAGAATATCATCCCTCATTCAAATTCTTTACTTAAGAGCTATTACTTAAATTTTGATCTTTATTGTTGGCAAATAGTTAGGATGTACAGACTGTGGATTACATAGGCTTGGCAATACTAGAACTTGGGCAAACAAACAAACTAGATAGCGTAAGGTTGTCTTCTTATGAGAGTTGGTTATGAATTATTTCGTCGAAATTGGGATATCTTCCCAAGACTGTTACATTTTTTCTACAATATTTTTGGTTAAAATTAGTGAGTCTTGACCACCAAAGTCAAGTGGTTGTTTGGTTGGAGTCCTTGAATCTACAATTCCTATGTTATTCTCATGAACGGAATAAAATTGTTTGATTGACCAAGGGGGGGTTTAGGTAAGCAACTCCCCCCATTCAGTGAGAATTAGAACTTTCTTACTATACTTAGCTGTTATGCCAATCAAACGACTACGAGTAGTTCCTAAAATGTATTGGAAGTCAACTAAACAGCTACAAGTACAAAATTTGAGGTTTTCTTTGGAAAAAAAAAAAAAAAAAACAAAAACAAAAGCTAGGTACTTGTTAGTGTGTATGTATTTACTCTTACTATTTAGTTTATGGGTGTAAGTGAAGTCTGGTAAAGGTATGTTACTGAAGTTGGGTACAAGCGACCAAATTGAGTGTTGGGACAGTAGGCGAACAATGACGAGATGTTAGGGTCAGCTAACTTAGAAACGAATATAAGCAAAAGGCCCAATAATAAAAAAAGACATCCCAATACCAAATAGGTTAGGCCCAACTTGAGCTTGATACTTCCTTCTTCTGAAAGGAGAAGACGACATGTCTGTCAACATTAAAAATTGGTGCTATATCTATCTATGGCCACAACCACAATCGAGCTTACTTGAAAATCTGCTCAAACTTTTCAATGTCAAAATAAGATGTGCTATGCTTCTGCTATCATGTAATCTCATCCTCTTTAATTTTCATTTCTTTTTAAATTCTCTTCATTCTTCATGTAAGCTCAATGTTATTGCAACTCCGAATAAATCTATTTGGCTTCATCTGGGCAATTACTAGTCAGTACTAAATCAGCTTTGCCATACCGATTTTAAGGAGAAACATCAATTTTGCTTAATTTGACTATCCTATCCAAATTTCGCCACATCCTCAATTATGACCAAATTAAAGACTCTAAAGTATCAAGTATGTCTGATTTTTTCTTCAACAACAAAAAAAAAAAAAAAAAAAAAAAAAAAAAAAAAAAAATGTATGTCTGAATTTTGTTTTTCTTGCAGAAATTTGCCCATCTTTACATGCCTTTTGGGTTTTGTAACACTTTATTTTGGGCATTTTTTAGTTTAACTGAGGCCATCTTATGATTCTTATCTATCAAGGGTTAATTGACTTGCTCGCATGGCAATTGCAAGCTAGATGGTGCTTACTGCTTAGCATGTCATATCAGTTTCCCTGAAAAGTACGTCTTAAAATATGCGTATACATTTGTAGTGTCTCGAGATCCTTGTCTTGTAAACAAAAAGGGAAATGAAGTTGATCCTTATCAATAGCTATATGTCAATTAAACAGTATGCATATATATATATATATCAATCATAAGCTCCTCTTTAATATTTGTTTTGTAGGCAGCAAATGTCGATGCTGAAGCTCCAGGAATCAATGATAATGAATATCATCTTTCCAAGAACGAATACCCCAGCCTAGAGCGTGCTAAATATAGTGGTATTAATGCTATGGTGCTCTTTCTGTCTACTCCTCTTTTTGTTATGCTATTAAACAACATAGAATGAATATACTGTATTTATAAGATTCACCTTCTGGTTTATGTGTTCTTTCTGGTGTAGTTTCGGACTGCTTGTTAAGATCTAGCATATTAGATGTTCTGTACTACTTTCGTTATTTTGACTCTCGATTCGTTTATAGTTTTCCTATTCTTCTGAAATTAGATTCAAGATTTTTATTTCAGTCAATCTCTGTTTATTCCCCTTCTGTTCCCTCTAGCTTCATACATTGACAATACAAAAATTAAATCTCTGTTTTGCATCATGATAGTTTTACTGATCCCATGTTTGGGGAATAGTATATGTTGCTGTTATTGATTGGGAATTGAAGCTGTGGGCGCATTGTTGGCTATTTTCTATATATGAGATATATATCGAATTGCCCATTTTTTTTTGGATTTTGTCTTGACTCTTTCAAGTGGGAGTTCATATTTATTGCTAACCTTTTTAATTATGTACTTTGTAGAGCTACAGCTTTCTGGTCTTGAGATTTTTAAAATAATCTTCACTTCCACGACCATGTTCTGTACTATTATTACTTCTTGACTTTTGTTTGCTTTTGGATGTCTAGAATGTAGTACCACTGAATCATCTGATGACACTGAGAAACAAGACGTGGAGGAGGCATCAGATGAAGACGAATCTTGCTATTATGATTCAAAGGACTACTTTACTGAATCTCCATCTCGTCTTTTTGGCAGTGGTATGGACACTGAAGGTCAAGTTGGTGATGTGAACTATGCTTGGCCTACGGAGGCCTCAGGTGAAGCTCTATGCTCACACATTGAAAGGCGTAAAAGGCTTCCTTATCCAGTTGAAAAGGAAAAACCTGTCAGTCTCTGGTCTATGATCAAAGACAATGTAGGAAAAGATCTTACGAGAGTATGTCTCCCAGTGTACTTCAATGAACCTATATCATCACTTCAGAAATGCTGTGAAGACTTGGAGTATTCCTACCTTTTGGATCGAGCGTATGAATATGGTCAAGCGGTAAGTTCATGAGTCCTTATGTTTCTCGGTCTTACTCCATGGTTTAGGCAACCAAGGGCTGGGAAAGGAGATCCTGATTTACTCTGTTGGTTGTTAGGAGTTGTATTCAGTATCTATATTCATATTCAATAATTTCAGTGCTCTTTCAATGAAAAATACAGAGTTCTATTTTATTCTTCACGAGAACTTAATGAAGATAGACCTGGGATGCAAATTTTACTAAATTAAGTTGGGGGTGGAGGCTTTTTCTGAAGACCAATGTTTGCTTTCTTTTCTTGCTTGTTCTATACCTCTATATTGAGTATTTCCACCAAGTCAAAATCCTGCTTCGATCTCAAATTATCGCATTCTCTATAGTCTGTACAATGTGTTAACAGTATTAATGCTGTATGCTATATATTTTCTAATGCTATTTGTTAGGGAATCTTTATTTTTTCTATAGTTCCCTAGTTAGATAGGGATGTATAATTGGTGTTAGGAATATACAATATAGCCAAGAACTTTTTTTTGGGAATGGTTTGACCGTAAACTCTAGTCTCTACATATTCATCGTTATTGGCAAGAATGTATGCCCAGTCAAATTTTCTTTTATGCCACTGCATATCTGATTGTGTGCACATTTCTTGCAGGGAAACAGTCTTATGAGAATTGCGAACGTTGCAGCCTTTGCCGTTTCTGGCTATGCATCTACAGAAGGCCGACTCTGTAAACCATTTAATCCTTTGCTAGGGGAAACTTATGAAGCTGACTTTCCTGAGAAAGGAATTCGGTTTTTCTCTGAGAAGGTTAGTAAATGCCTGAGCTTTCTGGTGTTTATAACTGTTTCTGAGTTTTCTTTTATTACAAGTCCAACCGTTCTTTTTCATTTGATTCCTTCTAAGTTAAATTGGGAGTGTACAAGGTTGTCTACAAATTCAGAAAACACTTGCTAATCACCTGAATTATGTATTAGATTACAAGCATTAGGGAAGAAAAGGCTTTGTGTTCAAACTGTATTTGTGACCAGTGCAAGGAGCCAAGCACCAATGTCCATGGAGCTGCTCCTTTGACCAAAACAGAAGAGGATTTTATTCAAGTATTGGAAGCTTTTAGAAAATGTTAATCACTATCTAATGGATGTCCTAATTGTGTTATCATTGGTTATCCTAGGTAAGCCACCACCCCACTCTCATAGCCTGCCATTGTGACGGTAAAGGGTGGAAGTTCTGGGCAGATAGTAACTTGAAGACCAGCTTTTGGGGTCAAACTATTCAACTTGATCCAGTTGGAGTATTGACTCTTGAGTTTGCTGATGGAGAGATATTCCAATGGAGCAAGGTGTGGCCTTTTATCTCTATTATTCTAAGAATTACTTGCCTTAATTTGCTTCGCTATGAATTTTACAATTAAATGTCTTCTACTTTTTTTTTAATTTTAGGTTACAACTAGCATTCATAACCTTATCATTGGAAAAATTTATTGTGATCATCATGGAATGATGCACATACGTGGTAACCGTCAGTACTCATGCAACCTTAAATTCAAAGGGCAGACTTTTCTTGACAGGAATCCCCGCCAGGTAAATTGTCTACTGTTATAATCTTTGAAGGAAGATAGGAATCTTCCCTTGATTTATGGATTCTGTGGAAGTAATTTGTTTTGCTTTCTTTTTGCACTGCTCTCATCTGCCATGTATGGTTGGAAACCTATACTAGTAAGAATATCTAGTTGTCTTGACTAAACAAGATGAAGGGTCATCTAGACGATGAATGGTATTCAGTATCTTTGTTGTGATTTTTTGGTCCCATGCAGTATTTAAAAAAGCTTGCCTAAGGCACACGGCGCTACGGGTCATGCGCCTTTTGTGGTTTCCATGAAGCACACTTAGGAGTACACCAATTTTTATGTTTTTATTTTTCAATCTTTTACTGTTTATCAGGTGTGCCTCACTTCAATGAGGCGTGTCGTCTATGGCACAGGGAACTTAAAATCCCTTGGCTCGCCTTGGGCTTTTTTATACACTGATCTCATGTGATTGTTTCTAATTTGGATCTTGATGATCCAATAGAGAGAATTTAGAAGGTAGTGACATCTATGAGGGAGATAATTGTGTGTCAAAAAAAAAAAAAAAAGAGGGAAATTGGCATTTTTTTTAACTCTTAACAAGAATTGTTATGCACAAACGCTCAACTCAATGTCATATTATATGCTCATTAAATAATACAATGACCCCCTATATACATGGTTATTTGGCTAACATAAACTCTTAACTTAGATAAAATTCTAATATGATTCTTAGTGTTCCCATAAACTCATATTATGAATTAATGGGCCCATTTTATATATTTATGTTAGTTAGCCCAGAAAGTATAATAAATGTCACCTTGAGTAATTAACTTTGGGTCATTCTGCTCCCTCATTATTCCCCCCTTCCTTGAGAAAAGGATCCATCCTCTAATGAATGTCCTCTTGTAAGCATTCACAATGTCATGAATCAAGGGTACCTTTGGATTAAAATATATTCTAATTTGAATTTTAAACATTCTTTTTAATTCATCGTCCTCCCAATAAGCAGGATTACCCTTTGAAACCAAAAATTGCAACAACAGATGAAGGAAATACAATGTAATTATATTATTTTTTCTACTTGATCCTGCACCAGTTTTTATAATCAATTTTCCCTGCAGGTTCATGGTTTTGTTGAAGATGGCGAAGGGAGCAGAGTAGCAACAATATCTGGAAGGTGGGACGATAGTATTTATTGTATTGAAGGAGATGGAAAGAATAAGCGTAAAGATTTAAATTCATCAGATGATGCTTCTTTGATTTGGAGAAGGACCAAACCTACTCCTAATCTTACTCGATACAACTTAACACCATTTGCCATTACTCTCAATGAACTTACTCCTGGGCTTAAGGTAGACCCATCACTTTGTATAGACCTGTCACTTTGTGCATTCTATTTAAGTTTTTCTGTTTCTCTAATTGTTTCTGATAGTTTTGTGATTCTGGATATTTGATCACGGATTAAGGAGAAGCTTCCCCCAACAGATTCAAGGCTTAGACCTGACCAGCGACATCTAGAGAATGGGGAGTATGACAGGGCGAATGTTGAGAAGCTACGTCTGGAGACGAGGCAGCGAATGGTATGCTTAATCTCATATAATGTTTTGAGTATAGTTTATTCTTATTTTGAACGCATACGCATATTTTTCCCTGAAATTTTTGTGACTGCCAATTTTCTGGTGAGATCTTTATTTTAATGACTTGTGAAAATGGCATCTGCTATTAGCTGCTCTCATTCTGATAACCTTTTTTTAGTGGCTTGCATGCTAACACAGTGAACATACTCTGTATAGCACCTTCTCCTGTTTAAGGCTTGCTTACTGTTGTCATACTATCATTGTTCCTAGATAAGTAGGTATAATCCGTGCTGTCAAGAAAAAAAAAAAACAGTAGATATAATCTGATTATCTTTGTTACTTTGACTCTTTATTTTGTCTCATGTACCCTTCTCAGAAACTCTATAATAGTGGATTCCTTATTCAACACTTTAATTTACATCCAGCACCTCAGATTATTTTGAGCTACATTATGGAGAAAAAAACAAGTGTTTAAACTGGGTTTGGAAAAAGAAAACTGTCATATGCGCTCTAAAATGGGCTTGAAATAACAATAATTCATACGAAGTACAAAAACTTGCGAACAAGGCAACCTAAAAGGTGTGTATATGTGATGCGTATTTTTGACGGTTTATATTAATTGGAAGGATTTGAGTGATTTTAATCGGTGGAAATTTGAAAGATAGTCTTAGAAGGCAACGACTTCTAAGTTTGATCTTAGGAGCAACGATCCCAAAACCCTAGTTAACAACTAGTTTGAAACTTAACAAAGTTCTCTTCAAGCAAAAGCTCAATAATCTCAACTTTTAATTCATAAACGTTCTCCTATAATTGTTGACATGTATCAAATATATATAGGAAAAATAAATCTAACCTACTTGCCCTTCAAACAAACTAAATAAAAAGCCCTAATAATTAATTAATGAACCAAGAGAGTCCACTAATTAATTAACACAAATTTGGAAGCCCAAGGCCCCATAACTACTACTAAGAAAATAATAAAAACATTATTAAAAACTCACTTGTAAAACCCCTACTTTAAGAGTAAGGTAAAACCAAGAGAGTACCTAAATAAAGCAATAAAAATAGTTATAAAAAGGGGAATCGATTCACAACATTCCCTCCCTCTTAAAAAAAACTTGCCCTCAAGTTTCGTTTGGAAGACAAGGTACCAAGTCACTAGCCCTCATAGTAGCGCAAATTCCCGCTCCAAGAAGTACTTGAAAAGTATCATAATTCTCCCTATGCATAATCTTGAAAGGTCCTTCCTCTAATGGTTCATTCTTACCTCTAGAATTATTAAAGATTTTCTTAGCATTTAAAGATAAGAAAACATAGTCACCAATCTCAAAAGGATGTTGGTTTCTCAATGATAACATATTAGCCCTTCTTTCCTTTTTATCAAGTTTAGGCATAATCAACAACTCTCTAGCAGGAGCTTGAATAGGTGGCGCCTTAGGGGGTAAAGGATGTAATTGAACACTCTTGTCCCCAACCTTCACCGAATAAACATTCGTCACATCATTAAATAACACCCCTCGATCATATTGCTAAGGATGACCCAAGAGTATAGAACAAGCAGTCATAGGTAAAATATCACACCACACACTATCAGAATATTTACCCATGAAAAAGTTCACCAAAGCTTGCCTTTTAACTTGTAGTCCATCTCCATCATGTAACCAATTAAGCTTGTAAGGAGTAGGATGGTCCTTAGTAGAGAGATTCATAGTGTCTACTAGTAGATGCAACATTGGTACACGATCCCGTATCTATGATCAACGAGCAACTCCTATCACCTACTTTGCATATAGTATGGAACAAATTTTCCCTTTGCTCATGTGTAATAGGAGGAACAAAATCAGCATGCGAAACTCTCCTTAAGATACCGTCAAACTCTTCAAAATCAAACTCTTCCTGTGCATTGAGCAAAGATAAGCCAACAACATTCTATGTTCCTTCTTGGATACCGTCACTTTGTTACCACAATCTCTAGCAATGTGTCCCATGCCTTGGCACTTGAAACAAACTTTTTTCGCCAATACAGCTTGTTCGGGAGTAACAACAATCATCTTTCCTTCATTGTTTAAATTGTTAAAGTTGATATTCGAACCCTCACCATTAAAGAATGACTTCCTCTCCTTGAAATTAGAAGTTTTCTTTTCTTTCTCCTGTTCTCAAATCTCTCTGCCAACCTTAAGACATCATCAAAGGACACATAATTTGATGTTTCCACCTTGTGAGAAATCGAAGGTGTAAACCCTTTTATGTATCGTCCAATCTTCATCTCCTCTTTTTCCTGCAAATCACAAAGCATGCACAATTTCTCAAACTCTTTAGTGTATTCGGCAACACTAAGACTCTTTTGTTCAAGATGATTCAACTTCAAGAATTGATCTTGGATAAATTCCCGTGGTAGGAAACGTTTCCTTAATTGTCTCTTCAACACACTCCAAGTATTAATTCGTGGCTCATCTTCTCTTTGTCTCTTGGCATGTAGATTCTCAAACCATAAAGAAGCAAATCTCGTCAATTTTAGGTTTGCAACCTTGTAGGCTTTTTGCTCATCAAAACCTTTGTAGTCATAGACCTTTTCCATCTGACGAACCCAATCTAAAAAGACTTCAGCATCTCCATCACCCGTAAATTCCGGAAGTTCCAACAATTTCAAATCTCGATCATTGTCAATTGGAAAATTTCTCATAATTCCCCTAGGTTGTTCGTTGTTGATTATTCTTCCTTCCCCGACCACCTGAGTTGATAAAGTTTCGACCCTTTGATTGGTTTGAGCAATTTCTTGCGTACTCTTCTCAATTTTTTCATTCATTCGTTCAAGACTCGCATTAAAATTTCTCATCATATCAACAAGCATAGTATCAAGGTCCTCCTTTGTTCAGTTACTCATGATGTCGAAATTATAATATCAGATGAAGGTAGCTCGATTAAATCAATTATCAAGAATCACTACAAAAAGAATTTCAGGCACTACTACAATGCTACCTCAGATTTTATATTTTATTTTATTTATTAAATTAAATCAGCAGCAACTCCGCAAGATTGAAATCCCAATATTACAATCACTCCCAGCCGTCAAATACAATTTGCAGAACTTGAATGCAATTAAATCATGGAATTTAAGGTAAAGCCTTCAATTAAAAAGAGTCTTGCAGTACTATGTCGGCCCAACTAACAATATTTGCAAACTACAATGTAAAAAGCCACGCAAGTGACGCAACCATGCAATCTCTATGTAGCCAAGAATCCCACTTTGCTTCTAAAACTAATAAGATATTATAGGAATTTTATTTTATCACAATTTGCACGATCAACAAAAGACAAAACAAATTGATAATTTCGTACCTGATAATTATAATTAACCCACAAAAATCGTGTAAGTGTCGTAAAGAAACACTCACCAGGCTCTATGATACCAATTTGATGCGTATTTTTGACGGTTTATATTTAATGGAAGGATTTGAGTGATTTTAATTGGTGGAAATTTGAAAGATAGTCTTAGAAGGCAACAACTTCTACGTTTGATCTTAGGAGGAGCGATCCCAAAACCCTAGTTAACAACTAGTTTGAACCTTAACAAAGTTCTCTTCAAGCAAAAGCTCAATAATCTCAACTTTTAATTCATAAACGTCCTCCTATAATTGTTGACATGTATCAAATATATATAGGAAAAATAAATCTAACCTACTTGCCCTGCAAGCAAATTAAATAAAAAGCCCTAATAATTAATTAATGAACCAAGAGAGCCCACTAATTAATTAACACAACTTTGAAAGCCCAAGACCCCATAACTACTACTAAGAAAATAATAAAAACATTATTAAAAACTCACTTGTAAAACCCCTACTTTAAGAGTAAGGTAAAACCAAGAGAGTACCTAAATAAAACAATAAAAATAGTTATAAGAAAGGGGAATCGATTCACATCAATATGTATATCTTATATGTAAAATTATATGGAAAAATAAATTAAGAGTATGTCTCATGAGTTCTTGGCTACCAAATCCATGTCAGTTTTAGGACAGTGTCCCTGTGTTTGAAATTTTAAGCATTGACATGTCTTACATTTGGGTACCTGATCAAGTCTGAGTAACAGTGGATATAATGGCTTATTGGCTATATGTATGTCAAATAGTTTCTGGTATATTCAGTTGTATTTAGGCCCCGTTTGGTTTGATGTAAAACATTTTCAATTAAAATTTAATTTTCATGAAAAACATATTTTTAAGGAAAACCACATTTGGATGTTTGTTTTCCTTTGTTTGGTTCTTACAAGAAATGTTAAAGAGAAACTAAAAATAGGAGTGGTAATGTGGGGATGGATGAAAGGAAAGTAAATGGGAGACAAGGAGAAGGGAGGAAAATGTGGCTTCCCTTTTTTTGTAAAGGAAAATGATTTCCACCATTATATATGTAATTTTCCACCATTGGGAATATTATTTTCCACCCCTTCACAAACCAAACAAAGGAAAATGGAACATAATGGGAAAATCATTTTCCATGAAAACATTTTACATCAAATCAAACGGGGCCTTATACCCACAGCATTTTGAATATTCTGAAATTCTGGCAGCTCAGCAAGTAGCTTTTTCAGAGATATTTTCAAGTCAACTATACAGTTGACTCGTTTAGATTCCAGCAAGCACTGAAGCTGTGGAGATTCGCTTTTTTTACAATATGATCCTAAGTTTTTCAGTTCTTTTTATCTTATCATCTCTTTCTTAAGTTTCATCTGAGTCTGCTTGGTCAATCATATCATTTTGGAAAGTTTATATTGCAAATAACCTCTCTTTATTATTTATTTGGCAAGCCTGTATGCATTCTACCCTTTTTGACCTTCACTGAGCTACTCATCTTTAGAGACGTCATGACAATGTTGATGCTGTTTTTGACATTGGATTCAGGAATGCCTGTGAAATAGATTTGGTTGTGCAAATGTCAGAAACGTATTTGGTATCAGGAAGGATTGGAAAGGACTAATTTTTTCATTGTTTACTAAATAGGAATTTGTTTGTGTTTTATGAGTTCATCAGAGTTGGTTTCAAATGTTCTGAAATTTATCATCTTGCATTGCAGTCAAGGAAAATACAGGAAGATGGATGGCGACCTCGATGGTTTGAGAGAGAAGGTGAAGACGGACCTTACCATTATAAAGGTGGATATTGGGAGGCTAAAGAGAAGGGAAATTGGGATGGGTGCCCAGATATCTTTGGAGAAATTATTGAAGCCTCTGACAACCTCAACCCAAGAGGCTAAAGAATGAACATAGTTAACTAAGGTGCAAACTCCTTTTCTTACAGCTTTTCCCCTGGAGTCTTTTTAGTTTCTTGCATTTCTTTTTAACATACACATCGTCGTAACACTCAAATTAGTTAATATACATCTTAAGAACTCTCTCTGACATGTATACTCTTGAGCGTGTAAGTATTGTAGAGAGAGAATTAAGTTTTCATGTAAACATCAGAAAGTTTTCAATTCAGAAAGCAAGTTGGAAAGATATAATGGCTTTCCCCGATTTAGGTCTTGGTTTGATTGTCAGGGAGAGTGACTGAGGAGCATAGCAATCTCTTGTTGCCTGAGATAGACAGGCTGGGAGCCCCAATTTATCTCAGGAAATTTATCTAAAAGCATGATCAGATACCGTAGGTTTATGTTATAGAAGTTCCAGTATGATCTGAACTATTTTGTTCTCCCTGATCCAGAAGCTGTCTGAACCTGGTGGCACTACCCAAATCTGAAACTGTTATAGCCGCCCTTGCTGCTATCATTTGAAGCGCACCATTTTATGAGGAAGTGGGAGACTTTCAAGTTAATCCGCTGCTCTCTTTTGCTGATGTATGGAGATTTCACAGTTTTATTGGCCAGAAAATGAGAGTAAGGTCGACAAAATTCTTGTGGAGCCACCAAAGTAAAAAATGTAGTCCTTGTTATAGTTAGATGATTTTTTGTATTTTCAGAGGAATAAATGTGGAGGGATCTTTTTGGGTGCAGGAATCACAGAGATGTATGTAGGAAATTGTGGTAAATATCTGCAGCTTAATATTTCCATTACTTAGTTTTCCAGCCCCCAGTTGTATCACCCCTTTTATTTTCCCTTTTTCCTCCAAAGCTGTAAATTTTATAAAGTGTAGTCATAAAAAAGGTCGCATTGAAACTATTCGAGTTATTTTTGTAATACTACCTCATGTCATTCAAAGGCAACTCATAACAATTCATTATTGATTTTTGTTACTGAAATATTCTCATCATTGCTACAGATATAATATAATTACTAACAGGCCAAATTTAAGTCTATTGGTATACCTTCTAACATGGCAAAATACAAGTGTTGTACGTTGTACCATTATCCCATTTAGTTACAGTGCTAGAGTCGTTGAGGTGTGAATTATCGAGCCTTTAGCTGAACTCGTGATAGAGCTTAAGGAGTCTTGTTCATCATTAGAATAATAGATTTGCAATAGTGAATTTACTAACTGTTGGCAATGTACGTTTTAGGAATTGTATTTTGTTGTATAGGTATAATTAAAGCAAGCAAATAGTGTAAATCTTGTTGATTATGAAAGTTGAGGTAGAAGTAGGCTTCAAGAAGGATCGATAGCATTAAATGATCATCAATCATCCATGCAATTAGTATGAATATGGATCCATATGACAGTACAAATGTTGACGGTTGCATCAATCGTGTTCTTCTTGCATCGTATGTCACATATTTTTGTCTTGGTGGCCCAAGTTACTGATGGTTTATGTTTGTTTAATGTGAATTGTTCTTTTACGGTGTTTAATTTGGCAAGGTTTGGTCTAATCCCATTTGTTATTCTAGTCTTCTACTGAACAATAGTGCTGTGATGCTGCATACACGGTACATGACACTCTATGGTATGGATCCATTCTTTTTTAGCAGAGCTAAGCTAAGTCTTATCATCCACAATATCGTCAAGCTTCTATTATATTTGTTAGTCAATTCAGTTTTAGCTCGACCTTAGTAGTATACACACTAAGGTTAAGTATGATTTTCCATCGGAGCTAGCTACTCATGGTGATTTGCTGGTTCATTAGTTAGCTAACATGTATTTTTTTTAATAAAATAAGATTCAATCAGCGTTTTGAGTTTTAATCTATTCCTATTGAATTTTGAAAATGATGTCCATACATGACCTATAAAACCAGAACCCTTTAGCTGGATTTACAACCAATTTCATGTACGACCCGGAAGGCTAGTGTGCCAAACGGTCTATGAGCAGCTTGAACGCTCCAGCGGTCATATATGGCTGTAAAGTCTGTAATATCTTGATTGCCATAAACTTTCCATTATGGAAAACGCATGCAATAATAATATAGAATGTGTATCGTATAGTATATATAATGACCTTGTACCAGACCAGAAACAAACAATATAATGAAATTAAACTAAATTTGTAGGTAAATTCTGAAGGAGTTGATCATATCGCTAGGAACAAACTACTGAACCGCTTGTTGATAGGTACATACTGGTAAACATTAGTGGACGAAAGTGTTAAACTGTCATTACCTAATCCAACTACATACACTAATGACAGCTTTGATCACATATGCGTGTACCACACATTAACTCTAAAAGTCTAAACGGCACTCAAGTAATTAAACCAGCTCGACAATCAAGCACCTTTATTTGTAGTTTGTCCCTAATTATTATTAGTTACGTACGATCATAATCACCGGGGGATCGGAACAAAATAACATAAGGACTGTCTCTAGTAACCAACTAAACTATTGTTTCTCATTCCAACTCAATGGTATAGTAGTAGTCTGCCATTGAGTGACAACTAATAATTCATAAAACCAGCACAGGAATTTCTTAAATGAAAACATTGTTTTGTTCTTTAATGGAATAAAATAACATAATTAAATAAATAATCAAGTAAAAGTTTGATAGAATTTAATTGGTTAAATATAAGAGGAAGAAATAGATCCCTTTATTTTCTATCAAATCATATTGAGGAATAAGAAGCACAAACCAATTAATTAGGTGCTAGACAACCAAGTTGGATTGAAGAAATTAAGATTACATACAGTAGCCTACTTTGTAGTTCGATAACAAAGTTTTCATATATCTAATAATATAATATGGCATCAGAGCCCATGTTATTAGAGTTCAAGTTTCTACAAAATTTATAGTATATGCTGCATTTTTTTTTTTAATGTTGTCTCTAAAGCTCGTTGGCTTTGCGATCTCTTTCTAAAAATTTGTTGCCTTCTTCTTCATGTTACCGTTATATATTGAGGTATTGTGACAAACTTAGTACAATAAATTTACAGTATCGAGATTCAACATCAATGTACTAAACATGAGGAGACAAATATCATTTATATCTATATCTATACTTATACATTAAAAATTCTGAATAGAGAATACGTGTCACGACACGTCACTTACTTTAAGCACTTTAAACGTGCCACATCATGTACTCATAACTCATGTATTAGGTGTGAATGACAACCAAGAATTGCTTATACAAAGGCTTGAACTTGAGACCTACAAGTATTACATTATAAGTCTTAACGTCTTCATTACCTTTTCATTTAATATGCCTTTATACGCAACAAAAATATAGTCAAGTTTGATAAGATGAGTGCTTAATTGTACCTTTTTTTACCAATATGTAATGATCATACGACAATTTAGCAAATTTATTTTGAGGTTACATATAGGTAGGGGCGGATTTTTTAAGGGGCGGGCTGGGGTTTGGCCCCCCTTAAATTTTTAGCTAAAATAGTTATTATCCAACAAAACTTATAAAGAGGCCCAAAAATAACAGTAGCCCACCATAAATCATTGTTGCGTTAGCCATAGCATAAGCCCCAAGTAATTCTTGCGGTGTATATTTTGTGCACAATCTCTAATACACTGATACACATGTGGTTTGATGACATATTTTATACCACTGACAAATATTTTTTCTTTTATTTTTTAATGTCTATTTCATTTCTTTTATTAATCTTTATTATGGGGCTTCCTTTTCACTAGGAAATAATAAGTTATTGTTTGTTTTATTTGTACACTGAGTTATGAAATTATTCCGTAAATGTTGTAGCTATTTACTAATATATTATATTATTGATGTACAAATATTATGAAGTACTTTTAAAAAAAGAATATTATGAAATGAAATTAGTCTTTGTATTAACAATATATTAAGATTAGTTGTAAAAGTTTTAATACGAGGTACTTTTTTTTTTACACGTATGTTATGGGTTCTATGACAAGGCTTATGATTTCATGAATTGAATGTTTAATTTGGCCCCGAAAGAATTTTTGTCAAAAAAATTTAGTCAATAGTTGAGTACATAAGAAATATATATATATAATATCAAGATCATGTGAGAACCAAGTCCTATAATAGGAACTAGGAACTCATCTGAGCCATTAATTTATTTGATCTGACGGCTGAGATGTTGTCCGCCTTTTTGTTGAGTAATGACATTTTGGTAAATTTGTTGAACTAGTAGAATGACTACCCTAAACGTCCCTTTTTCCATACTCATTTTCTCTCTCATCAATTCATTTTCTCTCTCCTCCTACAAACTCTCTTTTCTCCTATGATTTCTCTAATCTCTTCACCCACTCTCAATTTTGCAGATTTTCATCTTCTCATCTTCGTGCATCGTTCTAGCAAGTTTATGGGCAAGTAAGTTGATTCCGTTGTCTGCGATTTTGATTTCAAAATTAGGGTTTTCCCAATTATTTGTTTGAGTATTTTTAGCGTCGATCAAGTTTAAAATTAGGGATTTTGCTATTTTTGTTTGATTAATGTGTGTTTTCTCTTTGATTTATAATCAGATCAATATTTTGTATTGTTTTGGTATCAATTTTAGGATCTATTGTTATTATTTGTAATTAATAACACTTTTTATTTTAGTGTTTTTCGAATTCATACTATACTTATAGATGGTTTATTGAAATTTAAATAAGTTATTGCCTTAAAGTATTTCATGGTAGTAGGCTCTATTGTTGTGGCTTAGTTCGATTGTGAATTTAGATGATTTTGAGTTAAAATTGTAAAATGTATAAACTAATCTTATTAAAGAGCAGCGTTGGCCTTTATGTGCAAATACAGTTTGAGTTTCATTGAACAAAAGTGTATGGTTCTAGTTCCATTAAACTCTTATGCATCTAACAATGATAATCAAATTAAATGCAGTAAGATTTTTTTGGCGGTGTTGGCTCAAATAGTGCTACTGAGCAAAGCTGGGGTTTTCAACCCTCACGTTCTTGCACCACTTCTATATATTAAGCTTTGGATGAATGCAGAAGTAAGCAATAGAAAATTTATAGCTCAATAAGATCACATTTGTGCATTGTATGTAATATCAAATAAAGCTTACATCTGTGTGCAACTTAAGAGGTGTAACAATGTTATATATAGCCAAATCACTAATCTATAAATGATAATATAATCATCAGTATTTCTAAATGGATTTCAAGCCCCCAATGAATCAACATGTTATAGGTGGCTATGAAGTCTAACATATGCAACTATATATATATATATATATATATATATATATATATATATATATATATATATATATATATATATATATATATATATATATATATATATATACCTTGCATGTTGAACTTATTGTCCATGCAAACTGATTTACAAGCTTGGGAATAGATTTATAAGCTTCATCCTTTGTCATAGTAACATGTATAGTGATCATGAAGGCCATTTTGCCTAATATCTAACGTCTATAAAAAATTTTGATTTACTTTTGAGAATTTTTTCTTTACTTTTGAGGAATTTTTCTTTACTTTGATACACTGTTAAATCAAAGTGAGTTTTCCCTCTTAGCACTATCTAGTGAAAATCAAGACGAATTTATGATGTTGAGTTGTAGCTACTAATTCTTTGCATATTGAATTTTTGGGTTATTTGTCGTTTGTCTGGAGCACAAGCAATATCTTATAACTGATTTATGGGCAACCAAGCAGACATTTCAATGTGGAGCAAGTGACTTCTGAGTTCCGACCCAGAAATGCAGCATACCTTGGTCTAGTGTTTGATGCCTCTTACAGTGATAGTAGACACACACACACACATGACAAACAACCCAAAATTTAATATGTATTGCTTGCACTACTATTTTAATCTTGAAACTGATTATTTCAGATAACTTTGTTCTTCTTGGCCAACACCGTATAGAAGGAGAAAGTATGTAAACAAGCCAGACCTCATGACTACAATATC